AATCAAGTAATTGTTGAAAAAAAAAAAAAAGATTCAGTGCTAAGCATACATGCAAATATTAAAATGGACATTGATTATAATATTTTTTTTATATTATTATCATCACTAGTTGTATTGTAATATTTGTGCTATAATTATTTTCAATTTAAAAATAAATAAATATTAACATCTTTATTAAATAAATAAATTGTAGAATTACAATATGAAAGTATAGTTCAAATAGTAGAAAATGAATTAGTTTAATTTATTAGGGTTAAAATTGATATTTTAATTATGGATAATTGGGTAAGCTAAAAGAAGCTACCCTTTTGCTACTACTCAAAATTTGCTGGCAAATAGATTCTTCTATAACCATTTTTTTATTTTTTTGAATTTACCAAACGCTGGTACTACAGAGTTTTTAAGGGAATCAATTGTAGCCGTAATAGAGAAATAATGAAATGCGAAAAGAATCACATAAGTGTTAATAAACTTTTGTTTCGAAATTATAATCGACATTTGAGTATTTCGTTAACAAAAGTGATTTTTTAGTTCTTCGTGTATAAAATTACTAAAATTAACATTAATAATAATAATTATGTCGTCGTCGTCGTCATCATCATCATCATCATCAACAAGGGTCAATGCCTCTCCAAAAAGTCAAGATTTCATTGCACCGAACTAGATACATTTAAAGCCAAATACCATTGCATATGTGATGGTGGCAGAATTTTAAATAGTTAGGATGATTTTGTGGTTCACAATGTATGTGTGTTTCATATCGCCAGTGGAATAAATGATGACAATATCTTTCGGATTGTAGAGGGGGTGAAGCCACCAGAATGCCCCTTAAGGCATAAGTACTTTTATGGTCATATCATGGCAAAGCTAGAGGTTTTGGAATAACATTAAACTTTCAATTGTATAGCTTCTTATTGGAGAGTTACTACTTTATTTAACACTAAGAATTATGGTGTTGTTGTGTAGTCTTTTTATTAAATTTTTGTTAACTTCTTTTCATGATGAAACTAGTATTACAACAATGGCAAGGGTTGACTTTTTCCTTCATTCTTTAAGTATGTAGATGAATGTAAAATATTTATGAATTCCATAAAAAAAATAAAATAAAAAATAAAAATTGAGCCTTCCAAAGGGGTCGATAAGGCTAAATATGTAGTCGTGAAAACGATAGAGACAAATTAAGTGCATACTACACTAGCACAATTTAGATAATTAATGACTACTACACTAATGCTCCCTTTCATTTCACAATTCACACTAGCAAGAACAAATAATGCACGTGCAACCAACGTGCATAAAATGCATCCATATGTGTGTCTTTGTTCTTTTATATAATACTGAGAGAGTTGAACTCACTCTCTCAGTCCATAATACTTTTAGCTTATTATAAATGCATTAGATACATTTCAAAAAAATTTCTTAGCTAGATGCAAATCGATACGTATAATAGCATAAAATGAAATATTCTCTAACGATGAATATTACTTCTTTGTTGTCTTCTCAACCCAAAGAAAGATTGGTTAGCTAATAAACTCAAGTGTGCTTATTAATCAAGTTTGTCCCCTTCAAGGTGAGAGATTATCTCAATCCAGTTCGAAAAAGATTAACATTCAAGCTTAGAGTTTGACTTGAAAAATAATCCAATAAGACAAACTCGACAAATTAATGACAACAATATAATGTTCATTCTCAACTCTTAATACAAAAACTCTAAACGATAAAACATAACCCTTTTCACATTCTCCCTAAGTTGAGGTA